CATGGAGGGATGGACACTGGGAGGAGGTAACTGTGGGGAGGAGGTGGGAGGCGAGCTGTTGCACTGTGGTGAATTGTGGTCGATGTCATGAGACAAGGTGTGTGTGAACTACTGTATGGAAAGTGAATTTGCTCTGTACATTTTCACCCAAAGCACAATTAAAAAAAAGAATAAAAGAGACAACACAAACAGAAAAAAAAAACTATAAAATGTAACTGATGGGGTAAGGATTTCTATGGTATAATGATTTTTGAAACTTCTGGGACTCTTAATATATATTACTTGAAACTGCCAAAACAAACAAATAAACAAACAAAAACTCAGAAAATTGGAATAGAAAAGAAATAAAACCCCAGGAGTATGCAACAAACTAGGAAATAGAAGAGAAGCCTTCAATACCTTATTAAAAACCCCATATGTCTAATTCTACTAGGATTTTAAGATGATAAAAAATGGTTTTCAGAAATACTAAGTAAGAGAAGATAACCTTCAAGTACCCTAAGTATTCTAGACAAACAGAAATTTACATAAAAATAGAGGTTAGATGGAAATAAGAATTTTAATACCAGAAATGATTATGCTGTTTGGTTATATAAGTACCTTAACTAGAGTTCTTCCAAAAAAAAAATGGAATATGTTTTCTTATATCAGGGCTAATATGGATTTTAGTTCAAAGAGTAGACTCATGAAGATTCTATTTCTAAAGGCTATGAAATAAAGCTAGTTCAGTCAAATTTTGTTTTGGCCCCATTTACCTATTACCCACTGCCGCTCAGTAAATTCTGACTCACAGTGACCCCCATAGGGTTTACAAAGCTGTAAAGCTTTATGAAGTAGATTGCCTCATCTTCCCCCTCCCCAGGGAGCAGCTACTGGGTTTGAACCACTGACTTTATGCTTAGCAGCCAAATGCCTTACCCATTGTGACACCAGAGCTCCTTATTGTTGTTGTTGTTATGTGCCGTTGAGTCGGACCCGAATCATAGCGACCCCTCCTTGGGTTTCTGAGGCAGTATCACTACGGAAGTAGATTGCCCCATCTTCCTTTCGAGGAGTGGCTGGTGGGTTTGAACCGCCAGCCT